GCGGCGCGCCGGAGGACGCCCGCTGCTCACGGGCCGGCGGAGGCCCCCCGGGGCGGGGCGCGGCCCGCCGCCGTAAGGGCAGAGGGCGGGCGGCGCGCCTACCGCCGCTGGGGCGGCGCGATCCATGCGTCCCGCGCGGCCTCTTCCGCGCCGTAAGTGCCGCCCCTGCCGCCGCCGCTGCCGCGGGCCTCGCTCGGGAACGCGTTGCGCGGATCGCCGCCGGGCCGGGGACGGCGCACGCCGGCGGGGCTCGCCTCTGCGCGGCGCTGCCCTGCTCGCCGAGGGGCCTCCGCCGGCCCGTGAGCAGCGGGCGTCCTCCGGCGCGCCGCCCCCGCCGCGCTCGGGCTACGGAGCGGGCTCGCCGCGGGAAGCGAGGGAGCTCAGCCCGTTCTCGCGGACCAGGATCCGAGCGCAGGGAAGGGCAGGGAGCCGGAGCGAAGGAACTGTTCCCCGGCTGTGGCGCTACTTCCGAATTTAGGCTGCCCTGGGGGCAAGTCCACCGGGCCGGACTTGGGTCAGGACTTACTCTTAAGATTAGTGGGCCGAGGTCTCCAGCTTCTGACTACCGACTTTCCAAATGGATGCTTAAATTCAGGCCCCAGCCTCTACGGTGACGCTGTCCAGCCAGGATAACTCCAAGCGCGTAAAACTTTCGATAGCCTTGCCCTTCACTGCAGAACCCTGACCCGTCTGTACGAAGAGTAAATACCGCGCAACACTTGTAGCTTCTGCATTTTAGCAAAAAACGTCTTGTAAAAGGCCTTGTCGACACCCTGCCTTGCCGCAGCAAAGCCCGTTGAGGGCAAAGGGGTTCGTGTAGTTCAGCGGTCTCACGATCTCTATAAGGTGGGCACTTGTTGGCTCTGCTTAGTCACCGATCATGCAATAAACAGGACTCCTTTTTCCTGTTTTGCTGGCTGCTGAATTCCGGAAGTCTGCTAAGAAACAGGATTGGTGAACACAGTCAGGTAAGCTGCCAAGATCCTGGCACGGGGCATGGAATTAGATGGGCTGGTGAAACAGTAATTCACTCAACCTCTTTCTCAGACCTGAAGACAAGAGTATCTCGCTCCCGAGTGCAGGCCACTGAGGGCAGGGGTGCTGCACGGGGGTCTGGGCCGAGCGGGCAGGCCCCTCGGGGTGGGTGCTGTTCCAGACGTCGCGCTGACGCTGCCCTCCGGCCCCTTGCAGCTGGCCTGTCGGATGCCGCCCTGGAGGGCTGAGGGGCTGCCATGGAGAGCCGCGATGGAGGCTGCGCTGTGTCCCCCCACATGCCTTTGGCTGCTCCCCGCCTGGATCTTGCTGCTGCTGCCAAATGGACTCGCCACGGGGACGGTCTTGCGCCTGGGGGCAGAGCCCTGTAGAGCCGGCCCCTGCCCTGGCACGCTGACGTGGGCAGTGCGCTTGTCTGCACCCGAGGGATCGCCTCCCCCCGAGGACGAGCTGGACCGGCAGGCCGACAGGCTGGCGAAGGCGGCCGGCCTGGTGAACGCTGGCCGGATCGGAGAGCTCAAGGGCCACTACCTCCTCGGCTACCAGCCGGCCGGCCCCCGCACTGGCCCGGACCTCGAGGCGGTGCAGCACTCGGTGGAGGCCATCTTCGCCCAGCACGACAGCGTGAGGTGGCACGCCGAGCAGCAGCTGCTCAAGCGCTCCAAGCGCGGCCTGCACTTTAATGACCCCAAGTACCCCCAGCAGTGGCATCTGGTAAGCAGGGCCCCCCGGGGCTGCCGGGGAGGGGCTGCCTGCCCGGCCCGGGGACCCTGCTGAGCATGCGCCTGCTGCAGCAGAGGGGCAGGCTGGCTCCCACCGTGCTTGCGACCCCCACCCCAGGCGCGCAAAGGCCCGAGACGGCTGGGGGTGCTGGGTGGCCCACCCCTGTCCTGAAAGGCCTGGGCCAGGCGCTTCGGGCCTCGGCTCCCCAGAGCCCCAGCCAGCGGTCGGGAATGGGGAGCCCCTCATTACGGGCTGCCCTTTCTTCACGCCTCCGAGAGCCAGGATGCAACTTGCTGCTCGGGAGGGGCCGGTGCGGGAGCAGCAGAGTTTGGTGGGGCGGCCCACCTGGGCTGGGGTCCCAAATCACACCTCTTGCCCCACTGGAGGTCAGGGTGCAGGGTCTAACCCTCCCCGGGGTCCCCTTGGCGCCCGCCCTCCGCCTGCCGGCCGGGGCCCCCTGAACGCGGCTCTCTCTCCTCCCGTCGGCAAGAACAATCGCAAGAGCCCGGGGATGGACATCAATGTGACGGGCGTGTGGGAGCGCAACGTGACGGGCCGCGGCGTGACCGTGGTGGTCGTGGACGATGGCGTGGAGCACACCGTCAAGGACATCCAGCCCAACTACGTGAGTGGACCTGGCTCTGCCCCCCGCCCCCCACGTCCCCTCCCCCTCTCCCCGGCAGCCGTGGCCCCTCTCAGCGAGGCAGGGAGGTGTTCTGGGGAGTGTCTGGGTCCACCCCTCGCGGGCTGGGCTGCCGTCCTGCCGTGGCCGCCCGGCTCAAGGCTGGAGCGGCTGCCCGAAAGGCCTTCTGGAAGGGAGCTGGGCAGCCCGAGCGTGCGATTCCCCGTGCGAGAACAGGGGCCGAAGGCGGCCAGCACCTGCCTCTGCCCACTGGTCGCCCGGGCTGGGCTGGGCTGGGCCTGCGTGTGGTGCGGGGCCACCACTCTTGGCGAAAACTGGAGGACGCTGACGCGATGGCTGCAGCTGCTGTTTGATTTGCTGAGGAACAGATGCCCCCAGCTGCCCGTGGCAGCGCCTGCCCGTTTCGCTGGCTCACAAGTGTCCTTTAGTGAAGCAGGGCCACCTCTCAGAGGCGTCTGCTGGGGAGTAAGCAGGAGTCCAGCCGCCGCGCGGATCAGCTGGCGTTACCTGGGGCCCAGGGGAGCTGTCCAGCTCCGCTTTCCACAGACGCCCCCTCGCCGGCGCCTGTTCCGCCTGGCGAGTGAGCAGTGCCAGGAGCCCCGGGAGGATGCCGGGTGAGGGCCAGATGTTGCCCGGGGTGGGGTGATCGCGAGGGGGTGATCCCGTGCCAGCTCTGGCCTCTCCTCAGAGCCCCGAGGGCAGCTACGACCTGAACTCCAACGACCCGGACCCCATGCCCCACCCGGATGAGGAGAACGGCAACCACCACGGGACCCGCTGTGCAGGGGAAATCGCCGCCGTCTCCAACAACAGCTTCTGCGCCGTGGGAGTGGCCTACGGGAGCCGCATCGCAGGTAGCGCTCCTTGCTGCCCACGAGGCCTGCTCCGCCGACCGAGCCGCGTGTTCGTGTGTCCTGTTCCACCGTTCCGAGGCCGTCCCCTCGGCACAGGGTCATGCGTGCAGGGCGTGTCCTTGGCCCCCCAGCCCCTTTCCCGGGGATGGGGGTGCAGCCTCCGGTATTTCCACCAGCCCCACTTTCATGCCAAGTTCTCCGAGTGGTCGCCCGAAAGTGAGGGCGCCGCAGGCGCTCTTTTCCCGGCTTTGCCTGGTTCCTGCAGTGGCCCCAGGAGGCCAGTCGAGGTGCTTGCAGCCACAAGGCCAGAGGTGAGGCCGACCCACCGGTTTCCGGGGCAGAGTCCCTGAACCAGGCGCATTCTGGCCGTGCAGGGATCCGGGTGCTGGACGGGCCGCTGACTGACAGCATGGAGGCCATCGCGTTCAACAAGCACTACCAGATCAACGACATCTACAGCTGCAGGTCTGTGTGGTCGGCGGCAAGGCGTGGCGGGGGGGGGCTGGCTTCCCAGCTCAGCCGGCAGCATCCCCCTTGGCGTGCAGGCGACCCCCCGGTCCTTGGCAGCATCTCGGGCCGGGTCTGTGCGAGGGTGTCGTGTGTTCCGGTCCCAGAAGCCACTGCAGGGGGCAGCTTCCTGGCTGCATGTCGGCTTTGCTGCAGCCGCCAAGAGATTCCGCTTCCTCCCCCCGATCGGCAGCCCCGCCGCTGTCCACACAGCCGGGATTCCAGCTGGCCCCGGCCAGGGATGGCTGCCCGCGGGGCCCGCTTCCCCAGGGATGCTGAGTGCTCTTTCCGGGGATGTCTCTCTGCAGCTGGGGTCCGGATGATGACGGCAAGACGGTGGACGGCCCTCACCAGCTTGGAAAGGTGTGAAGAGGCGGGCTGCTGCCTTGCCACCCCCGTCGGGCGCAGAAGAGGCCCCCGCACCCGGGCCCTGCGCTCGGGGGGGACGTGGGGTGGTGGGCATGCAGCCGGGCCCTGGGGCGTGCTTCCCAGAGGAAGGGTGGGGCCTCTGCTCCCTTCGGCAAGCCCGGCTCTCGGAGGGGCTCTGTGCCTGATGGCGCACCTCCCTGGAAGGACTTGCCTGGGAACCCTCCGGGGCTGGCGGGGCAGCAGCCCCCTCACCCGAGGCCCATCCGCTCTGCTTCCAGGCTGCCCTACAGCATGGGGTGATCGCCGGCCGCCAGGGCTTCGGCAGCATCTTCGTGGTGGCCAGCGGCAACGGGGGGCACCACAGCGACAACTGCAACTATGACGGCTACGCCAACTCCATCTACACCGTCACCATCGGTAACGGTGGGGTGGGGAGTGGGAGGCAGTGCCGCCCCGGGCCGCGGGGCCCCGCTGTCCCGAGGGGCCCTCCTGGGTCCCGGCTGCCTTCCTGCCCAGGAGCCCCGGCAGCCGGCTCCCTGGCCTCCCTCGCTGCCCAGCCCAGGCGTGCCAGCCGGGCCAGTCCTGCGGCAGCCTCTTCCTCGGCCTCTGGCACTGCCTGCTATGCCACCGCCTCCAGTGAGAGCCGCTGGCACCTGGGAATCTGCCCTTTCCCCAGAAGCAGTGGGCCCCTGGGGTGCTCACGCGCCACCGTTGGGTGGAGAAGCCCCGCCACTGGGTCTGGAGGCCCGGCACGCCGTGGGAGAGCACCGACGCCTCATTTTCAGGGCTTTCTTGCCAGCTACCAGCCGGCATCTCGGCACCATCCTGCCCACTCCGCCAAGGCCGCTGAGAATGCAGCCGGCTGCCGGCTCCCTTGCCCCTGGTGCTGCGCGGCGAATAGATCCCTTCCCAGGGCTGGAAGCTGCTCTGGCCGGGTTTGCAGAGCAGAGGATGGGAGGCCGAGGCAGCGATGGAGGCCCGGATGGAGCCCGGGCAGGTGCTTGCTCCCTGCCCGCCCTTGTGCTTTCACGAGCTTGGCCTGGGACTGGGGTTCTTGGCAAGGCAGAGAGAGGCAGCCTTGCTCTGGAGGTGGGCTGTGGGAGGGTCCCATATGCTGCAGGGGGAGGGAGCAGCTGCGGCTGCGAGCCAGACCCTTCGGAGATGGATGGTCTTGCCGAGCTTCCAAGGCGAGCATTGCTGCACAGAGCTGAGGGGTCTAAACCGCCTGCCAAAAGCGCAGCCGGAGAGGCAAAGCCAGAGGGGCAGCCTGGAAGGGAGCCTCCGCCATTCACCCTGTTCTTGCTCTGAGTTCCTGAAGCGGCACCCGAAGCGGCGAGGGCTGCGCTTGGGTTCGGTCAGCAACCGTTTCAGCACACGCCAGCGAAACAGAACAAGTTGGCAGAGCGGGGCTGGCAGCCCGGCCCGGGGCTGCGTGATCCTCTGCGCTACAGCCAGGCAGAAAGCGGCAGCTCCACTTCCGAAGTGGGGGCAGACAGTCTTGGGGGGCAGTCCGATGCCTGTTTAGGCAGGGAACAGTTCTGCGGCTCTGAGTCTTATGCGTGTCTGGAAGTGCACAGGACGATGGGCTGAGTGTCCTTCGGTTTCGAGGCAAGGCTGCTCTGGCCTCGCCTGCTCACGCAGAGGGGGCTAAAGCGGATTCCGCTCCTGGCGGAGGCTCGGGAGTGGCCTCTGCCCTTGCTGGGATCCGTCTTCCAGACTGGGCCACCCGCGACTCACTCATTCTGTGCCCTGCCGGCCCAAGCACTCACTCGGTCACGAAGGGACGGGGCGCAGCAAGGCAGGCTGCCCGGTGCCCGAGCCCCGGGACCGCTCATCCACCGGCTCGCCCGCAGGCGCAGTGGACGAGATGGGCTACAAGCCCTTCTACGCAGAGGAGTGCGCCTCCATGCTGGCCGTGACCTTCAGCGGCGGGGACAAGCTGATGAGGAGCATCGTGAGTGTCGCGCTCCCCACTCGGGTGGGGGGGCTGCACCGATGGGGGGGCCTGGCGCGTCCTGGGAAGGCTGCAGCTAATTCTTCGGCCAGCCTCTTGCGGTGCTTTGGAGTCCGTGCTAGAACGGTTTCCTTAATGGGAAGAAGTCAACCCGGTTTCTTGACACCAGTTGGCAACTCCTGGCTTTTGCCGTGCGCGCTTGCGTGAGGCTCCAAGTGCGCGTCTCACGCCTGAGTGGATGCCCGAGCACGACGCACCTCCGGGAACGAGGGTGCCCCCAGGATCGGGCCTGCGCTTCCCCAGCAGTGCTGCTTCTCTGCCAGGAGGAAGCCAGGCGGCCTCACCAGGAGCAGGACGGAGCCAGGAGGGGAGGGGGCCGGGCCGGCCCTGGGATCTGCCGCAGCGGCCATGGGCAGGGGGGTGGCACTGCAGGACCCCTGCGACCGACGCCCCCACTTGCGCTCACCACCGTTGCTTTCCCTCCTGCAAAAGGGGGTCCCCCCTCCCCCCCAGCAGCCCCTTTTCTTTTGTCTCTGGGGACCCTCCCCCCGATCACACCTGCCAAGAGCCGCTCTTCCCCCAGGTTCGGGGAACACCCCGAAGACCAGAGCAGGTCCTCGTCCAGCCCAGCACGGCTCCAGGAGCCTGGCTGGGCCGCCCGGGGCTGCCCTCCTCCCGCCCACCCAACGAGTGAGACCCCCGCCCAGGAGACTGGCCAGCGCCTGCTTACCCTCTGCCTCTGCCTCTGCCCTCCAGGCCACCACGGACTGGGACCTGCAGCGGGCCACGGGCTGCACAGAAGGCCACACGGGCACCTCCGCCGCGGCCCCCTTGGCGGCCGGCATGATCGCCCTCATGCTGCAGGTGCGCCCCTGCCTCACCTGGCGGGACGTCCAGCACATCATCGTCTTCACAGCCACCAAGGTGAGGCGAACGCCCGGCTGGGGCAGCACGGCTTGGGCAGCCCAGCTTGGTTGGAGGCGGCTTCCGGTGCTCCGCGGCCAGAAGTCTCTGCCTGGGAGGGGATCGCAAGGCTGCCCTCCCTCCTTCGAAAGCTGGTCCTCCCCGACCTGATGCCCGGCACCTCCCTGCCCGGCTGGCCACCCACGTGCCTTCTCTTGCAGTACGAAGACCGCCGGGCCAGCTGGGACACCAACCAGGCCGGGCTCAGCCACAGCCACCAGCACGGATTCGGCTTGCTGAACGCCTGGAGGCTGGTGAACGCCGCCAAGGTAGCCCTGCGGGGAGGGCGTTCCCACACCGAGGGAGGGGGCCATTCGCCCGGGGGCACAGGCCACCGGAATAGTAGAGGGGGCGTGGCAAGGTGGGCGGTCCCTGCCCAGAGGCCCCCGAGCAGCCACCCCTCCACTGACTGGCCGGCTGACTCCAGGCGGCAAGGTCGTTTCTGGACGGCTCAGCCAACCCTGGAGAGCCGGACCGCGCCGGACCGCATGCAGTGGGCATTGAGCACATGCTGGTCCTCTGAGGAGGGGTCCTGTGGGGACTGTGCAGGGCGCTGTATCCTCCCTCCCCTTTGTCCCCTCTTCTCCCGCCGGCAGGTCTGGGAGTCCGTCCCATACCTGGCCTCCTTCGTCAGCCCCACCCTGAAGGAGGGCAAGGCCATCCCGCTGGAGCCGGGGCGCCTGGAGGTCGCCTGGAACGGTGCGTACCTTTTCGGGTGGGGAGGGGGACTGGGCCCACCTGGCAGGGGAGCGGAGGCCCTTTCCCAGACCCCTGGAAGGGGCTGGCCCGCAAAGGGCCGTGGCTCCGGTGGGGGGGGGGGTCCCTCGAGAGGCCCAGGGCCCTGCGGGCGAACGGGGCTGAGGTGCGGCACGAGGGGCAGCCTGAAGCACGTGGCCGCTGCTGCTGGCCGCCCTCGCGAAGAGGCAGGACACCTTCTAGGCTGGCCGCTGGGGAGCATGGGTGGGGAGGTGCCGTGGTCCCGCTGCTGTGTGGCCAGTGTGGGAGCAGAATGGCCCCCTTGGCCTGACTTGCTGCAGGTGCTTCCATGGCTTCGGGCGCGTGGCTCCACCCAAAGGGAGCTTGCGTGGCCGAGTGCGACGGGGCACAGAGGCCGGTGTGGAGGAGCCGCCTGGCGGATCGTTCCCGGGTTGATTACCGGCGGGGGCTGGGGGAGTCTGTGTGTGAGCAGATGCCCGAGGGCTGCCAGAGCATCAGTGCCGCTGGAGGGAGGGAAGGCAGAGCGGCCCCTTCCTCCTCCTCCTCCTCCTGAGGCAGGGCTGTGCCTCCCTGCTCAGCCACGGCGGGGGTGCTTGGCTGGATGGCTGGTGCCCGACCCGCAGCTCCCCCTGCCCATTTTAGGCAATGCGGCCGCTTCTGTCTTGGCCTCCTCTGTCGGCACAAAGCAGGCCGCCAGCCCATGCGCGGTTCTCTCGAGCCCGGCTGCAGCGGGAGGAGCGCCGCCAGCCCGCCCTGCATCCCCCAGCAGAAGCCTCGCAGCCCCCAGAGCCGCCCCTTGCCTTTCTCCAGCTGCGGAAGCATTTGGCCGCTCGGGGGCCTGTCAGCACCGCAGAGAAAGCCCAGGAGCTAGACCCGGCTGAGGTGGAATTGACCCGGCCTTGTGGGTGGAAAGAGTCATGCTCGCCGGAGGCCGTGAGAGGCCCTGATGGGGCGAGGGGGGCTCACAGGGCCGGCTTCCCAGGCCGTCCCCTTGCTCCAGCTCCGGCTGGACCGCAGACCACGAGTGCCGGCGGTCTCCGCACCCTCCCGCCACCGGCTGCTTCCCTCGGCCGGAGAGCCGGCCGGTCTCGCGCCTGCTGGTGCAGCCAGGAAGGCAGGTCCCTCCCGGCCTCGCCAAGTGCCTCGCAGCCCGGGAGCTGCTGGACGGGAGTCGGGCCGCGCTCTGCCTGTTTCCCTAGAAGGAATTTTCTGAGCAGAAGCGAGCCCCGGCTGGGGAGTGCCAAGCCCGGAGAGGAATGCGGGGTCAGGCCCCACGGGGGGGGGGGGCGGAGGAGGAGGAGGACCACCTCTGGCCTGCGGGCTGCCTGGGCTGCCGTGGAGAAAGGGCGTTAACCCCTCGCAGGCCCCGCCTGGATTTCCGGGGGAGGATGCGCTGGGCGGCAGGAATCCAGGCCGCTTGAGGAGCAGGGCAGGCGTCGTGCCCCCGAGCAGACTCCCCGTGCCGGGCATCGCGGCGTGCAGGGCCGGCCATGGCTCCCATGGGCCAGCGACATCTCCTTGCTATTGCAATGGAGGCCCCCGCACCCCGGCCCCTCCCCGCCCGGCCCCGCAGGTGCCCTGTTCGGCTGCTAGCAGAAGGACGCGCTTCGAGGTGCCCGGGCAGGGCAGGCGAGGCCAGGAGCTGGAGACGCTGCGCTGCCTCACGGGTCTGGGGCTGCCCACTGCCTCTGAGCCCCTCCCGCATCGGGGGGAAGCCACATGGGGCCCGGCATCGCCCCAGAACACATGCCACGGTGCGTGGATGAGAGGCTGCCCCCCTCCTCCCGCGTCCGTGCCCCAGGACATCCGAGGGCCAGCCGGGCGCCAGGCAGCGCCAGGCAGCACACGGTTCTCTCCCTCAGTCTCAGAGTCGGACCTGGCGCTGTCGGGGATGCGGACGCTGGAGCACGTGGCCGTCACGGTCACCATCACCCACCCGCGCCGCGGGAACCTGGAGCTGCGCCTTCTCTGCCCCAGCGGCACGGAGTCCCTGATTGGGACGGCGCGGAGCATGGACTCGTGAGTGTGGCCTTCCGGCCCGATTTTGGGCCAGGGTCTTTCCCGGAGAGGCCGGGCCCAGGGCCGGACTCTCGCTGAGCACCCACGGGGGCCACGGGCAGGCTGCTCTGTGGGTGTGAACAGCCGGAGCAGGCTGGGGAGGGGGCGGCTCCCCGCCGTGAGGCCTGCGGTCTGATCCTTGCTGAGAGGGTCCTGGGGCTGGCCTGGCCTCGGGGGCATCTGCTCTCGGCGAGGGGGGCCCAGGCATCTGGCTGCCCCCGTGGCTGAGCGGCTCCCATGCCCCCTCCTCCCCAGGGATCCGAACGGCTTCGTGGGCTGGACATTCTCCACCGTGCGCTGCTGGGGCGAGGAGGCCCAGGGCACCTACCGACTGGTGATCCGCGATGTTGGTGAGCCTTCCCACACGGGAACGCTGCTGGGGGTCGGGGGGCAAACTCCCACTTCACCCCCGTGTGTCCTGACACATTCACCCCCCCGGCGGCTCCAGCAGCTTGCCTGAACTGCGCTCTGGTCCCAGTGGCTCTCTGCCTCTCCCCAGGGGACGAGATGCTTCAGGCAGGCTTCCTGAAGGAGTGGCAGCTGACACTCTACGGATCCGCCTGGGCCCCGGCCGAGATCCAGGCACGGCAGAGGTGAGGGCAGGTCGGTCATGGCCTGGCGCGGGCAGCTCCCCGCGCCCCACTGCCCTCCGCCTCGCGAGTCGGGCTGCCTGAAGCCGCTGAGGAGGCTGGGCCAGCGCAGGGGCCAATCCGTTACTGCGCGTGCAGAAGGCCTGAGCTGATCCGGCGCAGGGAAAGGATGGTGCGGGGAGCGTGCCCTGCCTCTCCCACCTGCAGCCCCGGAGAGCTGCGGGTGGCCGGGGGAAGCCCTGCCCACACCTGGCTTTCCAGGCAGCAGGAACAGTGGCGGCCTGCCCCCGGTGCACACGAGCCGTCCCTGCGATCTGGGTGAGATGAGGGCGGCCCCAGTCGCCACCGCACAATCCGACCGTGGGAAGGGGAAGGGGGAGGCCTGCCCACCTCCTCCAGCAGCCCCCTCGGTCTCCACAGGCTGCTGGAGGAGGCCATGAGTGGCCGGTACCTGGACAGCAGCTTCTCCTTGCCCTGCCCGCCCGGCCTGCGGATCCCGGAAGAGGAGCCCTACACCATCTCTGCCAACACCCTCAAGGTGAGGACTGCTGCCCCAGCAGATCCTCGCTGGGCCACCCTGCGGGTCACGGGGGAGAGGCGGGCAAGGGTGGCCAGGCCGTGGGGTGGGCAGCCGTCCGTCCGCAGCAGGGCTTGCGGGAGCAGAGGGGTGCTCTCCGCAGCCACGGCAGCCCAGGGGCCTCTCCGGGGCTCCCGCTTCTGAGGGCCGCCCCTCACTCGCCGCTTACCTGTGGTGGCGCTGACGCGTCCCTCCCTGCCCCAGACGCTGATGCTGCTGGGCTGCTTCGCCGTGTTCTGGACCTTCTACTACCTGCTGGAGGCGCTCTGGACGCGCAGCGGCAGGACCCTGGACCTGGCGGCCTGCAGCGGGGGCGCCCCTTGCCCCTGGCCCTCCGTGGTCCGACCCGCCCGGAGCGCGAAGGAGGGGACGGCGGTGGAAGAGACCATCCCCTTGTGCGGGGAGAAGGATGTGGAGGCCGAGCAGTGCTCCCCACCCCCGGGGGGGCCGGGGCAAGACCAGCCGGAGCTCTGGGGGCTGCATGACCCTCACTAGCAGGACAGCCTTGCAGCCTCGCCCAAGCCACGGCCGCCTACCTCACTCCCCGTGGCTCGCTGGCGGAGCCCCTGGGACGCGAACGGGACCCCGCCTGTCCCCATCGGCCACAGGGACAGAGTTCTGGGACGCCTGGGACCGCTGTGCCTGCCCTGCACTGGCCCGGCTGCCGGGCTCGCTCTGGCTTTCTCGCCGGAGGGGTGGGCTGCTCCAAGATGCCTGCCAGCCAGAGGCCCTGCCCCTTGCAGACACCGACCTGGGAGGGCTGGCCGGAGCCCAGCCCTGCGCACCCATCCTGTCCTGCTGGTCTCTCAGACACCACAGCTCGGGCTGCCAGCTCCCTGGCGGCCGGCCTCCTCTGGAGCAAGCATGCAGATCCCGAGGCGTGTCTCCTCTCTGTCTTGGGGTCCATGCAGAGGACGATGGGTGTGTTTGCTGGGTCAGGCAGGAGCCCGGCTGGCCAGCTGGGGGCATGGGCCCCCTCCCGCTCGGCCTGCCTTCAGCTTAACCCGAGGGGAGCGGCTCCTGTGCTCCCCAGAAGCTGAGGGGCCGCGAGTGCGTCTCCTGGAATCACCAATTAATTTTGCTTTTGAAGTCAACAGCAGGATCTTTTCTTTACAGCTTTCCAAAATAAACCCTTTGAAACCTGAGCGCGTGCCTCTCTCCATGCCCTCTCCATGCTGACGGGGGTGGCTTTGCCTTCTCTGACTCTCACGGAGGAGCGAGGGGCTCCCGGCTGCGGACCCCCTGCTCCCCCCGCCAGCGCTCCCGCAGCACTGCACTCTGCTTCCCATGCTGTCCTCGCGGTTGGGCTCCCGCAAGGTGGCCCCCAGGCACCGGAGTCGGGCCTTCGGGCAGGCGCAGTCTGTCTGCTGCAGGCCTGTGGGCACGGAGGGGCCCTGTGCCGCCCTCGAGGCCCGGCTCATGGCGGCGCTGCCTCCGTCGGGCTGCCCTGCTTCCCCCCCGCTGCACGCAGCTGGCCTCCAAGCCCGCAAGGCAGCCCCGCCGCCTCTTTGGAAGACCCCGTGGCCCGTTGCCCTGGGACAAGCACACCGCCCTTTAGGCGGCGGCGGGGGGCTCGGCTTCGTCTGCCCTCCATGTCCTGCTGGCGTGCCGTCCCGCTGCGGCGTCTCCGGCATCCCAAGTGCGGCACCAGAACGGAGCAGCTTCAAATAAAGAGCCAAGAAACCTACCGGGATTCATAGTTTTTAATTGATGACCGACGGCAAGTACAAAAGTGCGGCGGGAGGTGGCCCCCGCCTCCCGCTCGGCGAGGACGCGCAGGAAAGGGTTTCTCTGGCGTGTGCTTCGGCCACGTGGGGCCCGTGGCCGGACGCGCTGTCCGGGGACGCTTCTGGGGCCGGGCCCTGCCAGGGCACCGCGCGAGGGCCGGGCCTCGGCCGGGAGCGGGAGCAAGCGGGGCGGTGTAGCGGGGAGCGTGCAAGCGGCCGCCGGGTGGCGGAGCGAGCGGGAGGGTGGGCCACCGCCACGGGGCGGCCCCCCGGGCCCGCTGCCCGCCCCCACGTGTGGCTCCCGGGGCAGTGGTGGCACGGCTCAGAGAGGCTCTCCGGAGCGCCCGGGCAGCGAGGTCCACCGGGGGGTCGTGCGGGGGCGGGGGGCCGGGGCCGCGGGGCCGGCGCTGGCTTAGCTGATGATCTGCCGGGGCCGGCCGTAGCCGGTCATGCCCGCCTGCGAGGCGCCCTGGTTGGAGCCCATCTGCAGGCCGATGACATTCTTGCCCTCCTTCAGCTGGCTGTCGGAGAAGTCCCGCCTGTTCTCCTGGGCTTTCCTGGGGTGCGGAGAGAAGGGTGCCTGAAAGCCGGTCCCGGGGAGGCCCCGGGCACAGCAGGTGACCTCTTGCCGCCCCCCAGCACGCCCTGTACGCAAACCCAGCTGGGGCGCTGCGGGCCCCAGGGCAAGGGTGCCCCCCCACGCCCGGGGGTCCCTTGCTGCTCCCCCCACGGGCCGGGAGCCACTTACTTCATGAACCAGGTGGGGTCTCCGCGGTACTGCCCGTCGTTTTTCGTCACCGCCAGGCTGCCCAAGGCCATCAGCGTCCGCTGCACGGCGGCCATGTCCTTAGCTGGGAGCAGAGGACGAGCGTGAGGCGGGGAAGCGGGTGCCGTGGGCTCAGGGGAGCCCCTCTGCCGGCCACTCGCCCAGCCCTTGTGGTGCGGAGCCGGAGGAAGGCACTACCCCCCAGCCATGGGGCGGGCTCTGCCCTTACCACACTTCCCACAGCCCCTGTCCGCCTCACCTTCGAAGAGGTCGACCGTCTGGAAGATGTCCGTCTTCACCACGCCGTAGTCCTCGGCCGCCTTCAGGAACTGGGCGATCTGCTCCATCTGCTTGAAGACCATGCTGGGGGGCGGCTCCGGGATCTTCACGGGCTTGGAGCCGCTCGGGTAGAGGCTGTTCACCAGCTTGCTGAGCACCTGCCGGAGGCAGAGAACAGGTGTGCCCCTGGAGACCCCTCGAGATAAAGCCAAGGGGTTGTCCGTTCCTGGACCCGACGGGCGCAAGGAGCACACGCGCAAGCCCCTGTCCCGGCTGGCTGGTGGCCCCAGATCGGCCGCGGGGGCGCCGGCCCAGCCTGGCCCTCCAACGCCAGTCACACAGGGCCACGGGTGCTCACCCGCTAAGCCGAGAGCAGTCACACCTGCCCAGGCCTGCCACTTCTCTTGCTAGTGGGTCAGCCGTCCCCAGCTGAGCTGTGGGGTCACGGGCTGAGCTGGGGGCTGGGGAGGGGTGTGAGCCATCAGGAGCGACCAAGGGAAATGCTTACAATGCCGTTCTTCAGCCAGACCTGAAAGCCCAGCCGGCCCCGTTCGGGGCGCCCCACCTCGGCCCCGCACTGGGCCACGACCCACTCCACCAGCCGCTCCTCAAGCTCGTCATCGTACTTCTTCTCGATCTTGGCCTGGACGTCTCTGCTCAGGCCGAAGGAGGGGCCTTTGTTTGCCATCTTCTGTGCAGGGGGAGCTCTGGGGGGCACAGAGAGGTGCGTGGCACGTGGGTGGGGGCCAGCGAAACGCGGCCCGCTGGCGCTCTCCAGGGACCGGCACGAGGGCAAAGCGCGCTCCTCCGGGGCACCGTGGGACTGGGTGCCCTCGGAGGAGTCATGTGGGCAGCGCGGGAGCCGGCTCAGTCCCCTGCGGACTGTGGGGCTGGAGGCGGTGAGGCCGGACCCTCAGACCTCTGCCACCCACTGGGACGGTGGGAGCCGCCGGAGCTCCCGGGCCGGGAGGGCTCACGCAGGCCGGCCCCGGGGGGCCTGCTGCAGACCAGGCTGCCTGCCTTGGCCTCTGCCAGGCATCCCCTCCTGCTGTCCGGACCGGTTGTGTGCGGCCAGGAGGCTCCCGCACGGCGCAGGTCCTGGCTGTGAGCCCGGGTGTGCCGGCGGTGCTGCCGCATCCCTTCCGGAGCACCGTCCAGCCAAGAGCTGCGATTGGCGGCCCCGACCGGCAAGGACCAGGGGCGCCTCAGGCTGGCCTGCTGCTGGCGCGCCCACACGGGGGGGGTGCCGCCCGCCCGCCCGCCCGCCCACTGCCCTGCCCTGCCCTGCCCTTCCACTTGGCTCCCGCACCTCCGCGCAGCTGCCTTTGCCTCCCCTGCCAGAAAGCCCGTCCTGAACCTGCCGAGGCAGCCGAAGGGACGCAGCCCGCTGGCCGGGCGTTCCCAGCGAAGCCCGTGTTCCTGAGGCTGGGCTCCGCTTTGCGGCCAGCCTCCTCTCTCCGTTCGTCTTCGAGCCCGTCACTGTTGTCGCAGTGAAGGGCCAGGCCAGCCCCTCGGAAGGAGCACTCGGGCCTCCGCGGCTGAGCTTCCCGAGGGGCCTGGCCCGAGCGCTCATCTCCTCTTCTCTCCTCTCCTCGCCACAGCCCCACCCCGGGCACGCCGTGGCCAGCAGGGAGCGCGGGCCAGTCCCACCCGAGGCGATTGCCCCCCTCCGCCTGGCTCTCCTCTCTCTGCCAGCCCAGCACCCAGTGCTCCCGCAGGCCACCCTGCTCACCGCTGGCGCCGAGCCGCTCTCGGCACACCTGCGGGTCACTTGCCTGCTTGCCTGCTGGTAGGGCTGCCCCCTTGCTCTTTGGAATCCCCCTTCCCAGCTGGGGCCACAGCAACAGGGCCCCCAGGAGCCCGGCAGCTGCGCCAGCCCTCCCTCCCTCGCTCCCCCTGGCCATCCGACAGGTGCCCCGGGTTGCCCACAGCTGACCCAGCAACTAGAGACTCACTGCTGGCCCAGGAGCCATCCCGCTCCCCATCGCAGCAGGGAGGTCAGGCCTCCCCCACAGTCCCAAGCCGCCACGCGCCTCCCCCCGCCGGGACCCTGCTTCCCTGTCTGGGTTGCTCCTGGACCCCTCCCCAGCCAGGCCAGCCTCCCGGGGAAGCCAAACTGCGGGAGCCCGGCCCCGCCGCGGCTGCCTCCCTGGCGTCCCACGGGCAGCTGGCCCCGCGGCACCGGCTCCCGAGGCTCCTACTTACCGAGGCTGCTTGGAGTTCTCCCAGACACCGCTTGGCCGAGCCCTGGACTCCGTCAGGAAGGGCTGGCTCGGGACTAAAAGGCTCCCCTTCCCTGGGCAGTGACATCATCGCTGGCCCTCCCCGTCCAGCCGCCCCCACCAAGGGGAGTGCCCCCCTCCTCGGAGCAAGGGACGCTGCTTCAGGCACCATATTTGGGGAAAGACTCCAAAAGACAGTGACGAAGGGCCCTTCCCTGACATTCCCCTCGTGCCTGAGTCAGCGCGGCCGGGCTCTGCCGGGGCTGGTCCAGGGCGGCCGGTCCTTTTTAGGCAGGGCCGCTCTGGCCCCAGATGTTGAGCAAGGCTGAGGCTTCTGCTTGGACCACACTGCAGGATCCCCTGTGAGGTCAAAACAATGTGGGGGGAGCCCCCTCCAGACTCCACCTCATCCAAATACCTCTAATTATGCAACCCGGGCCTCTCCGCGTTTACAGTCCCTGCTGCTCAGGATACCTAGCGTGATAGTTTGTGAAATGCAGTCTGCGTAGAGTTTACGTCCTGTATAAACCAGGGGTTTAGTTTCTATTTCTTTATCCTTCTACCTTTGCCAGACTGGGCCAGGGAACCTACGGGGGGGTTCTGAGAGTCCTGGGGCGGCGATTCAGTACCGGGAGCGTGCCGCTGTCCCCCGGGGCATCTGGAAACAGAGGCGCAGACGAGGGAGCGCAAGAACGGGGGACTTCATCCACCCCATGCGAAGCGGATGAGCCAGTGGAGGAGCCACGACAGAGATGCTGCGTGCCCCGACGCCAGAGCTCCAGTGCCCAGAAGCGGCTCTTCGTGGCGCCTGCCGGCGGGACGCAGCCTGCATTTGCCCAGGGCCTCCAAGAAGACCCGCTGTGGAGCTGGCAGCAAGCAGAGTCCACGGAGATAGCACATTTCGTGTGCTCGAGAGGAAAATTGCCAAGCAGAACCGATAGGGATGTGGAAAGACATGGAAAGAGGAAGCTATTCTGAAGTGGAGGCCTGGTGCAAAGGCAGCCGAAAGAGGGGCAAATCCCTCCGAAGTGCTTGGGGGTTGCTCAGCCGCAGCCCCCGAACCCGAGAGCTCACCAGCAAGGGCAACAAGCTGCGCCGGGAGCCATGAGAGCAGAGAGGCCTCTTTGGAAAAAGGGAGAACAAGCGGAGCGCAAGGAGCAGACGGCAGGAGGTGCAAAAGAGCCTTTCCAGGAAGGCCCTCTGACAACACCAAGGCCAGCGATAAACAATGGCGCATGTCATGTCATGCCGTCGTATCAGTGGAAGGAATCCGCCAGGGAGGCACTTGGACCGTTAAACAACAGCCAAGGGAAGGGAGAATAAAGGAGACTGAAGAGGTTGTGGAGAGGCTGAACAAATTATTTCCGTCTGTCTACAAGACTGATAGCTATTTTGGATCCGAGGCTTCCAGGGCGGAAATTGAGGTGGCAAAAGTTGAAAGTCCCGACTTTACTGGCAAATTGAAAGCGGGGACAAGACTGGGGCTGCATGGCATCCATCCTCGAGTTCGTGCAGCTGCTGGGTATGTAACAGATCTGCAGCCTCAGCCGCTGTTCAGAGGCCTGGAAACGGCCAACCGCCACCTCTTCTGGAAGGGGACTGGATGACGTGGGGCGGAGGGGAAAGGCCCTTCCACTAGTCCCCCCACCCCAGTGCAGAAAGGCCCAAGCAAAGGGGCAAAGCCAAGCTGTCTTTATTTCTTGTCATTTGGCAGCAGAATTTGCAGAAATTAAAACTGCAGTTTTGTTGTGCAACAACTTACACAAAGAACAATGTAAAAAAAAAAAATCCGAAAACAAGCCATCCAAGCCACAACCGAGAACCAGGAATGGACAAACATGGCAAACCTTCCCTGTGTGGGAGGGCAGGAAGGAATGTGCCTCCCCAGGACAGGGCAGGGGCAGGTCCCCCTCCCTCCCCGTGCCTCCCCTTGGCTTGTGGCCCGGCCGGACCGAGTGGCCCCTTCGTTATCGATCGCTGTCGCCCCTGGGAACACGTTGTGGCGCTCCTTCCACAAGGGCAGGGCAGGCCCCTGCCAGGGGTCAGCGAACAAGCGGAGGAGCGAGTCCAGGCAGCACGACGCAAACGGCCGGCGGTCAGCCCCAGGAGCCGCCCAGAGGGAGCGCAGGGGGGCCACCCCAGACCCAGGCCGGGAGGGGAGGCGGACGGAGCCTGGCCCACCCCGGAGCGGGCACGGAGGCACGTGCTCCAGTGTGCTTGAAGGGCGGAGGGGACGCCCAGTTCGTCTCCCAGCGAAAGGCCACATGTGGCAGGAGGATGGCCAGAAGTCCGGGCATGGGGAGGGGGCGGCGCCGGCTCAGGGGATGTGCTTGCGGTGGGTGGACGAGAGCTGCCAGCAGACGCGGCTCTGTGGCGCCGGGCCCCGGGCAGAGCGCCGGGGCTCCCGCTCAGCACCCCTGGGCCCAGACATCCACCCCTGGCCCCTTGAGGACTGGCAGTGTGCGGCAGGTCCGGCCTCCGGCGAGAAGGCCCACGCGTGAGGTGATGGCGCAGTCGTGGGGCTGCTCGGACAGTCTCTTCCCTGTGGTGTTCACGCCCTGGAAAGCCGGCGCCGCCGGCCCAGGCAGGGCTGGCTGGAGGGCGGCAGAGCCCAACCGTGGCGCGCAAGCAGCTCGAAGCCCCCGCCCGACGGCGCCCGGGAGCCTCCACACGGCCGGGCCCGCTTCCGCAGGTTCTGCCCGGCAGCCTGTCGTGAGCCCTGCTCTGGCGGTGCGCCGGCGTGGGCGGCCCGGACCCTCAGTCCCAGAAAGGCCTCGAGGCCTGCGGGCAGGAGGCGGTCGTGTGCCGACGGAGCCGCCTGTCTAGAAGACGTAGATCTTGTCACGCTGGACGCAGTCAAGGTCGTCATCCAAAGTCAGCAGGACCTACGGCAAGGGGGGGCACACACGTGGATGCCGGGAAGGAGGGCGCGGGTTGGAGCCGTGGGGTGGGGGAGGCAGCCCGGCCAACGTTTCCTCCTCCGAGCCACGCCGAGGTGAGCGAGGCTGACGGCAGCGCCCGCCCCTCGCCCCCCCCGGCCTAAGCGCAGCTGCCCCCGGCAGCCCCAGCGGGCCGCCCCCGCTCTCCTCCCCGACCTGCCGGGGCACCTACCAGGAAAGAGCCGAACATGGCAATGGAGGAGAGGAAATGCCAGACGTCGTGATCGTCAAAGAAGTCGAGCAGGATGCAGTCCCGGTTATGCTCGCGGGACTCAGCCGGCGTTTTCTGGGGACAGCAACTGGGTCGGCTTTCCGTGGCGAGGCGAGGCCGCTCCCTGCCACCCGCCTGCTGCCACAGCCCAGCCCCCCGCCCGGCGGCCCGACCCACGAGTCGCTGGAGCAGGGCCACCCGCGCCACACAGGGCCTCTCCTACGCCGAGGCGCCAGTCCCGAGGCCAGTCGGGCAGAGCCGGGGCACTCGCTCGGCCTGCCGCAGGTGGGGGCCACGGCTCACCTGCCAGGTGCTCAGCCCCTGGAAGAAGAAGAAGAGGGCGAACCCCCAGACGACGGAGGTGCAGACGATGCAGAGCAGTGGCATCGGCTTGAGGCGCTCGCCGCTCCGGAGCTGCAGGGCGAGGGGCGCGGTCAGAAGGCGGGCAGAACGACCGGGCCCCAGGAGGGTCTTCCAGGGCTGGGCATCCCCTCTGGGGATGCGCAGAGGGCATGACCCTGCAGCAAGCTGCCCTACGGGAATGACAAGCACCCTGCCCCACCCTCCTATGCCCCGGGAGCCGAGCCGAGCCGAGCCGAGCCGAGCCGCACTGGGGCACCTTCATGATGATGTAGAAGGCAAAGTAGAGAAGCAGGTTGCAGATGCCAATGGCCAGCAGGTAGGAGGCGAAGTCGTTGGGCCGCACGATGAGCCCATAAGCAGCGCTGCACAGAGAGGGGGAGTCAGGGGCGACGGCAGGCAGCAATCGGGGCCAGGCTGCAGCCAGAGGCCCGGGGGGGGGCTTCCTCGGCTATGAGGGTTGGGGACATTGTTTATTCCTGCCTGGCTACCACCAAAGCCCCCCCCCCAATGCAAACACGATGAAAACAGGAACGCAGCAAGAATAAGTGCCTAACCCCAAATCGGAAATGGGGGGAAAGCAGTTGCTCTTGCCAGCTCTGCAGAGCAGCATGTTAAGCTGTCCGTCGCCCTCTCCCATCAGGACCCACGCCGAGGGCCCTGCTGCTGAGCGCACCCCCCCTTCCCCCGCCCCTGAGCCAGGGGCCCCCCGCCCACCAGGTCCTCGCCCGCCTGCCGGCGCGTACTTACAGGGACCAGTTGATGATGTTGCCCATGACCAGCAGCGCCATCCGATCCTGCGGGCACAAGAGCGGGGCCGGTCTGTCGGGGCGGGTGCTGGCCACCCGTGGCCCCACAGAGCCGCCCGCCCCGGCAGCCGCCCAGCGGAGGGAGGGCCGGCCGCCGCGTACTCACCACATACATGGGCCCACTGCACTGGCGGATGCAGTCCGTGTACAGCACGTGCAGGATCCGGCGCGGGACCCCCGAGTCTGCGGAGAGACGGCACCTGGATCGTGCGGACGGGGAGAGCCCTGGGGTGGGGCGGGCCTGGCGGAGGAGCAGGCCCACCCCAGGGGCTCAGCGGAGGGTGCGCATGCCTGGCTCCGCCCCCGGCCTCCCCACTACACTCCCAGGCGGTTCCCCCTTTCTAGGACCGCGCAGGCTGCCTGGGGCGGCTCTGGGGCAGACCCCCAAGCGGCCTCTGCCATCGGCACTGCGTCAGGCCTCAGGTGGGACGTTATTCTGGGGAAGATGTTCCCGGGACAGGGGAGCTGGAAGGGCCTGTGTGCCTCAGAGGCCCTGCAGGGACGGCACGAGGGGGGCGCTGGCAGGCCTTACCCAGCTTCCAGCGGCCCATGTAGTAGAGCTGGGTGCTGAGCAGCAGCGTGGAGAGGATGTGGATGATGGAGAAGACGATCCAGAAGGCCAGGTTGCCCTTGCCAAAGACCTGGGGGAGCGGAGCACGAGCTGTGTTTGTCCTCATCCCCGCTGCTGTACTGGCCACAGGCAACGCTCTTTGGGTGGACTGCCAAAGATCCAACCCTCAAGTATGCAGTATGAGCCGCAGCAGAAAAACCGTTTGCACAAAAGCGGCCCCAGAAGCCCGGCTCTGGCCAGGCGCTGGATGCGGTCAAATGCCCGAGAGCTGGGGAAACCTACCAAGGAGTAACGAGGTGCCAGGAACACCTCCCGAGTGGCGTGCTCCGCATTTCAGGGTGGGGCATCGCTGGGAAGGCCCCTCCCCAGGGCAGGCCCAGAAGCACCTTGGAGGGCGCCTCCCCCCGCTGCACCCAGTCACACCCCTCCAGCAGGTGGGCAGGGAGGGCTTTGGCGCTTGTGGCCACACCGGAAGGCCCCTGCGGAGTGCGGCGGGAGTCCCAGGAGCCAGGGCAGGACGGCTCTCTGCCAGCTTCCACGGGGAGGAGTGCAAGCTGCGTGTGTAGCAGCCGGCAAAGGCAGGAAGGGACCCAGATTCTCTCGGTGCGACCGGGACAACCACCCCCACAATCCCCTTCCCGGCCACCGCCCAGCTGGGAGGAGGCCTCGCGTCACTCACCACCCCCACGACGGAGAAGAAGATGACGCCGGCGAGGCAGGCGTAGGCGCTGTAGGCGCTGGCGTTGATGTCCGGGTGCCGCTTCTGGTACAGCTTCAGCATGCAGAGCCCGGCGATCATGTACATGAAGGAGGTGTCTGTGGGAGAGGCCGTGGGCAGCGCTGGTCGGTGGTGTGCCGGCCCTCGGCAGCCCCACGCATGCGCACAGGGGGGCCGCCCTGGCCCTCCCCACACACAGGCTTGGACGCGGCCCCCCCGCACTCACCAAACTGGAAGTTGGTGTAGTTGGGGCAGACGTGGTAGCAGGCGCTGAGCAGCCCCTCCATCATGAGGGCCGTGCCCATGGCGTAGAAGAGGCCGAAGTGCTTCGGGATGCCGCACTCCTGCGGGGGGCGGGAGGGGGAGGCCTGCCTGAGCCGTTCCCGGGCGCCCCCACCGCCCGGCAGCGAGGGATGGCTGCAGAGCCGCCTTGCGCAAGCGACAGGGCGGGAGAGGAACACTCCCGCAACGCACTCCCGTGTGCAAGCGTGCCCAGGGTGACCCCACAGGGCGGGTTCTGGCCACGAGCGCCTTCGGCGGGGCTTTGGGCAGCACTGGCAGCACGCTCCAGCGCCCCACAGGGGAGGGGAGGGGAGGGGAGGGGGCCCACCGCCAGCCCCGCGCTCACCACGGCCTGCAGGTCGTTGCGCATCAGCGCCCGGTTGTGGTTGATCTCCCGCTGCAGGATGATGAGCAGGAAGAGCAGCCCCAGCAGGACGTAGCCCAGGTTGCTGAGGATGTTGTTGAAGGCGCTGTGGAGGCGGCGCAGTGGGCGTCATGCTGGCACCGAGACCGAGAGCCAGGGTGGCCCCCGCCAGCCACACCACAGTGCTGCCCCAGCCCCGGCCCTGGCCCCGACCTCGGAGCCCGGCTGGGCCCGGCCGCGCTATGCCGCCCACCTGAGGTTGCCCAAGGGGTGGGCACACAGGAAGTTGTAGTAGCAGATGTCCTGGTTCCCGGTCACGTTGACAACCTGTCGGCGAGGCGAGGCGTGGGGTGAGCGACTGGGCGTGCGGGCGGCGGGAGGCGGCTGCTGCCGGGAATGGGACCGGCGGGCGGCTCAGCGCTCCACCTGGCCCTGTGCAGGCCAACCCTAACCCACCACCGCACCCCGGTCGCCACTGGGCCCTTCCCGGCACCAGCCGCACACGGGGAAGCCCGGCGGCCGTTACCGTCTGGTAGGTGATGACCAGCTGGATGACGGGCAGCGCGTAGAAGACGGCGATGGTGGCGATGTTCCTGCGGGAGGCAGAGGGAGCGCGTGGCGGGCGTGGGGCGAGCGCAGAGCAGCCCCGGTGGGGCGCGTGGCCCCGGAAGGCGAACGGGGAGCACCAGGGCACGGGCCAGGCGCCAGCAGGGGGCCCTCGGCCAGCCCCGGGGCCTGCCCGCCCCACCCCGGCTCTCACCAGAAGTAGATCTGGTACTTCTTCCGCAGCACGCGCTTGTCCTTCCGGGCGAGGTCGGCCACGTACAGGTATTGCTGTGGGGGCAGCAGGCGGGCGTGAGCGGCGGGCCAGGGCCGGCGAGGGGCCCTCACCCCTGGGCCCCGCCACTGCCCGGCAGCCCCTCTGAGGCTGCTCACCCGCCTCCCCACTGGGCACACGGAGGGTGCCACGGGCGGAGGGGCGGCAGGCGGCTGGGGTCACAAGGAGCAAGCCGAGCCAGGCCCGGCCCTGCCCCCGCTGCGCCTCGGCTGCCCCGGCTCGCCCTCAGCTGTGGCACGACCCGGCCACGGGAACAGGCGGCGGCCGCTGCTCTCGCCCCACGCTGCCCGGCCCCGGGCCACGGCACCTTGGTGCGGATGACGTTCTTGTCCGAGTCGATGTCGGCCAGCGTGTCGTACTCGTCCTCTTCCACAGAGCTGAGGGAGTCCAGACGGGGGCGCCCGGCCACGTTCTCCAGCGAGCGATCTGTGCGGGGCCGGAGCCAGTGTTAGCCAAGGCCCGGCGCCTCTCCATCCCTCCCCGACTGGCCGCCTCGCCCCTCACCCTGCCCGGCACCCGGGAGCTTTGGGACCCTCGCGGTCCGCTCAGCCAGTTGCTGCTCCCCCCGCCACCTGCAGTCCGGCGGGAGACGGGGCCTCGGACAGCTGCGAGCCGGACCCTGCCCTGCGGTAGGCGATGGCAGCCCCCCATGCAGATGGCCCCCTCCCGAGCAGCAATCACCTGCTCCGGGAGCCCAGCCCACGCAATTGAGCAGTGGCGGGGGCAGCCCTGGTGTTCTGCCGCTCTCCTGCCCGGCCGGCTTTCTGAGGGGCTCCGCTGCCCCAGAGCAGACCAAGTGCGCCCGGCCCAAGGCCGCAGACATGTCCCCCAGGGCGGGCCCCACCAAGCCCCCACACGCAGGCACGCGGGGGGCAGGCCCCTCGGCCAGCATCGGCTGTGCTGCCCTCCCTGTTCCCACTGAGCAGCCCCTCAGAAGGCAGCCGGCTGCTCAGGAGGAGAGCGGGGAGGGAGGGGGGTTCTGTGCCCTGGATTTCTGGTGCCCCAGGCAGGGGGCGCAGAGCCAGGCTTCTGTGTACTCTGAGCGTCACTGGACACCCCCCCCCCCGCCCATTGCAAACTGCAGTGCAAAGCCGCACAATCACACCCGCTAGCAACTCGGGTGTGCGGCTGCCCGGTCAGGTGCCTCCTGCTCCTCCTCTCTGTGCATTTGCAAGAAGCCATGCAGGACCCGGAGTCCGCTCCGGCTTCTCGGTGCCACCTCCCGAGGACTTGGCCTGGGGTCCACACCGTCTGGCCAGGACCCCTGTGCCGAGCCCGCCCCGTCTGGGACCCCAGCCCTCTGCTCCGATGCTGCCTGGCAGCAGCGCTCTCCTGGGCTGCAGGCGGGGCGGAGTCGGCCGGGGTCGGTCGGGGACCTTCCGCTTGCGGAGCAGGCTCTGCCGCTGAGCTCGGAGCCTCTGAAAAGGGGGTGCTGCAAAGCTTGTGGGGCTCCCCTTGCCCCACAGAGAGCTGCTGGAAGGGGGCTGAAGGCCCATCACTCGACTGGGCACCACTGAGCTGCCCTTCGCAGCTATCAGGGCTGGGCACCGGATTCCACTTGGCACTAACGGCGCCACCCTGACCGGACCCTCAGCTCGTGCACAGAAGCCGGGCCGAGCGCCCGCCTGCTGGCTAGGAGGAGGCCGAGCCACAGCGAGCGGCCGGCGCCAGGAATGCGGTGCCCGATTGGTGTGATTGGCTCCCGCCCCTCCCCGCCAGCATCTACCCATAGCAATGGCCCAGTGTCGCTGGCGGTGCTGGCACGGATCCTGCCCTTGAAAGGAAAGCAGAGAGTTACGTGAGGGAGGAGTGGGATCCCCATCCTCCATGCTGGGAGCACTCCCTGCAGCTTGGTGATCGCGTGCCCGGCTGGCCGGGGGCCACGAGCAGCGTGGGGAGCCGGCGCATCCCAGGCGCCTGTGGGGGTGGCATGATGTGGGTCTGGGCAATGGGTGCCCCGCGCAGCAGCTCACCTGCGTAAGCGTAGGAGGCCTCAGTGGAGAGCAGGCTGTCCGTGACGTTCTCCGTGCTGGCGGTGGAGGCGTTGTCTGCAAGGGCAAGCGGGCAGGCTCGAGCGGGCGCGGCCCCTAGATGCCGAGGGCACGGGAGAGGCGGGGTGGGCCCCCTCTGCCCCCACCGGGGGCCTCGGCAGGCTGGCAGAGGCTGGAGGGCGAGAGGGGCCGCTCCCCGGCACACAGCAAGTACAGACGGGTGGAGAGGCGGCACCGGAGCCCGGGACTCACCGAAGGAGCCGTAACCGTAGCCGTTGTAAGGCGGGCGTCCCAGGATGGCGTCCGGCGTGAGGCGGGCATGTCCTGCAACGAGGCCACCGCCAGCGATCAGCCCCTGCGGTGGCCGGGCTGGCGAGAGCAGAGCGGCAGGCATAGGCCTGCTGCCCCGGCCCCGTCTTGGCCCGCGGAGCTGCGGGAGGAGCCGCCGGGGACACAGGCAGGGTGAGCGGCTGGCGCACCCACGGCTGTCCCGGCCACTGCCACTTCCCGCCACGTAAGCCTGGCCCAGCCCTGTGTTGCAGACCCGGAACCCCTGGAAAGGCGCCCAGGGCCTGAGGGAGGGCTGCCTCCCGGCCGAGGATGCCTTGGCGAGCCTGTGGCCGGGGAGCCACGAAGGCAGGCAGGCAGGCTGGCGCTTACCCAGGAGAGAAGCTGGAGGTGGGGTGCCCAGAGAAGGAAGGAAGAGAGAGAGAGAGAGAGAGAGTGCAGTTGCAGGTGCCTGGCAGGTGCCCCAGGAGCCCTCACCCCTGCAGAGCCGCTGGGCCGCCCAGGCCCATGCCCCCTCAGGCAAACCACACATACCAGTTTCGGCGCTGGGCGTGTCCAGGGCCGCCAGGAGTCCCAGGTGCTCCTTCCGATGCCTGCAGAGGAACCCAAGCCTCAGGCTGCCCGTCCCTCTGGAGCGGTGCCAGCAGAAGGGCCGAAGTCCGCCGGGCAGAGGGGCCTGTGCTGGCCCCTGGCTGCCGTCTGGCAGGTGTGGGCTGGACGCCCGGCCCCTCCCACCGGCAGACCCCCCTCTCCCCGAGCGTGGGGTGTCCAGGGGCACCGAGCCTGGCAGGAGCCTGGCAGGGCCATGCCGCAAAGGCGCCCTGGCCTGCCCTGCTGCCCGAAAGCAGGGATGTCCCGGGCCTGCCTGGCTCTCACACAGGAGCCCACATTTTCCCCTGGGTGCACACCCTCCTGGCCAGGCGGGACGGTGGAGGGGGGAGCCCACAGTGAGCCTGCAGGGCCAGACTCTCTGCAATCGGAGGCGGCACCTGGGGCAGGAGAAGGGAGGCAGGACCCCCTTGGGGCCGGGCAGCAGGACTCACCTCCAGTTCTCCCAGCAAGCAAGGAGCATTGTCAGCACATAGAAGGAGAGGAAGACGCCCAGGCTGAAGAGAACCCCGCTCACGTAGGCCTGAGCTGCGGGGAAAGAGCACGGGGGGAGGGGGAGGGCCCCTGTGGGGCTGCACAGGCCAAGCAGCAACGGGGTGAGCCCCGAGGGTGCCCAGCTCCCGAGGGACAGGTGCCCCCCGCGGGCTCCTACTGGCCCCCTGGGCACACCGACACAGCCTCTGCCGCTCTGCAGCTCCCGCGCTCAGGAACGTGGGATGGTCTGCCGTGGCAGAGCTGGGCCAGCTCCATGTGGCCCAACACATGACCTGGGCGCCATGCGGGATTGAGGCGGCGCAGGGGCAGGCAGGGGGAGAAGGAGCGGCTGGCCTGGCCGCCCCCGCCTTGGGTCCCCTGCGGCCCCAAGCGGCACAGGGGCCGCCCTCGGCCACTTACAGGTGACAGCCGGCGACACAACCACGTCCAGCGTCTTCTGGCGGTTGCCTTGGTCGACGGGCTCATCTAAGGGGCGAGGACGCTGGGGCTTGCCAAGCTGGAATGCCACCCGGCCTGAGCCCACACCCTCCCTGGGAGAGGTGCTGCTCCCGCCCTGCTCGCCTGCCCCATAATTCGCACCCCAGGCAGCAGGGCCCCCTCGCCAGCCCACTGGCCTGGACCGCACCCGCACCCGCTTCCGCTCCACTCCCCTCCAGCTCCTCCGAGGCGGCTGTGCCAGGCTGCGCTTCCGCCAGAGCACCCCAACCCCACCCCTGACCCCCTCCACCCCCAGGCCCCGCACCTTTGGAGAAGGGGTAGTAATGCAGCGATCCGCCACAGGCCTCATCCTCGGTCTTCACCACAACCACCACGTAGAAACTGTGGCTGGGGAAATCCTTCTTCTGCAGCTCGGGGGGTGGGGGAGACCGGGTCAGGGGCAGTCCGCGAAGTGCCCCCAGCCACACGCGAGGCCACAGAGACAGCGGGACCCGACCACGCCACAGCCAGCCCCTCGGGAGACCCCCACAGCCAGCACACCGGGCTCTCTTGGAAGTGGCGCGATCGGCCAGGGCGCTCGCTGGAGCTGCCAGCCAGCGGGGGCTGCCCTCGGGTGAGCCAGAGGCGGCCCACCGCCTGCCACAAGCACCCCATGAATCCGCGCCCTGTTCCGCAAGCGCGCGGCCTCGGGCTTACTCACAGGCCGCTCGCCAGGCACAAGCGATAGCATCGCAAGCACTGCTAATGAGGCCACCCGACACCGACAGCCAGGCTGGCCCGGCTCGGATTGCCTCTGGGCCGGCTCCCCCCCGGCGGGCCCTACCTGGACGGTGATGGCCGCCTTCTTGGTCATGGTCTGGTACATGCCGATGAAAGCCACATTGTTGTCCAGGTCATAGACAGGGCACTGGGCGGGAGGGTGGAGGCAGGGTCAGCCACAGGGCGGAAGGATGGACGGAGAGGAGCCCCGGAAGGCGCCCCCCCCCCCGCCCGGCCCCCTTGTCACCTACCAGAATGTCCTGGATGGAGATGACTGAGCAAGGGAAGGCCGTCGCGGAGGTGACCTTCACTATGGCCGAGTCCACGCCTGCCGGGAACTCGTACTTGAAATACTGCCAGGGGAAGGACACCGGCATGGTGGACCCGAAGCTGTGCCCAGCCAGCACACAGCCAGCACACTGTGCCCGCAGCCCCCCCGGCCCCCCCTCCCCCAGCAGCACTGCCCGAGAGGCCGCTCCGGATGACTCTGCGCTGGCTGTGCGAGCCCTTTGGGATGGGCGGTGGCCCTCGCCAGCACACAAGAGAAGCGAGAGGCGGGCACAGGGTGGGGAAGAGGCCACCGCTCGGCCTGCGGGGGGGGGTGCCCCGGGCCCAGCCCACCACGGGGCTTCCCCCAACTCTGGTCCCAGGCTGCAGGGAAAGGAGAAGGCAGCAGGGAGTCCCCGCTGGCCCGAGCAGGCAGCAAAACCGCCCGCCTGGCAGAAGCGTGTGCCTCGCAATCCCGACAGAGTCCATCGTCCACCGAGCCACGCACTTCCTGGCGTGCCGACTGCAGCTTCTGCACCTCGTGCCAGAACCCAGGAGTCCCGGCAGGCCCCTGAATGGACTCACCTGTGGCCGGGAGGCGGTGGCGTTGAAGCTGAAGTGCTCCCCAGTCCTGCGAGGAGGGAAGCGCAAAGAACGGGGCTGTGGATGTAGAGGGGGGCCACGCCTGCCCGCTCATGGGGAGCAGCCCTGCCGGCGCGGGCTGCCCTGGAATCCCCAGCCCCCTAATGCCACATGGGTTCACTGGGCAGGCGATAGGCCGAGCACTGTGCTCACTCGGGGAACGCCACACGCCCTCAGCCACAGCCCTGGCCCTGGGCTCCCGAGTTCACACACGGATTGCTGGCAGGGCCCCCGGCCAGCCCTCCTGGCTTTGTCTCCAGCAGAGGGTCCCACTGCCGGGGATGGGGACGCCGTGCCCACCCACCTGAGCACAAAGTTCTCCACACGGGTGACCTGCAGCTGGTAGGAGGCGTTGCACGACGAGAGCGTGGAAACGTCCACGTAGAAGTACTGCGTCTCAAACTCGCTCTTGGTCTCGGGCTGGCAGAGAGTGCGGCTGACATCCTGGTAGAGGTACTTCCGCTGGTACCTGTGAGCCGAGGGGAGCAGGAGGGCATCACCACCCAGACTGCCCACGCATGAGCTCGTGCGGACGCAATCGCCCAGGCCTCGCAGCTGGTGCGCGTAGTGATGTGGGGGAGGACTGGATGGCCGAGCCCCACACCCAGTGGGCAGGCCAGCCGCCTCGGTCTGTGCACACTGTGGGGCGGAGACCTGCTGCAGTTCCCCATCCAAAGCCCCCACAGCTATTTGGCCCTGTCCTCCGTAGCAGATTTATTTTCTGATAATGACAGAGGTGAAACAGGAGGGAGAGAGACACAGGAGGGGTGCAAAGCGAAGACCTGCCCACTGCCCGGGAAGCAGGATACTCACAGGCCCCGGAGGATCAGCGGCACCTGGAAGGACACCACGGCCTCCTTCTGCCTCACCACAAAGAGCACCGGCGACTCCTTCTGCTCCGAAAGCACGTTCACGGACACGCGGACTCCCTCTGTCTGCAGAGCAGCAAAGCAAGCGTGTGGGGCCCCCGCGTCAGGTCTGGGAAGCCCGCCCTGTGCGGAGAGGCTGCCCAAGGGGGAAAAACCTCCCCCCGCCCAGCCACTGCCGTGGAACAGTGACTCCCTGTGCCAAGGAACTGGGGAGGCACCTGCGCTTCCCCACAGGACTGGCGCTGCCCCCAGCATGTTGCTTTGGTTGAGCTCCGGCTATTGGGCTATTGGTACAGCAAAATGGATCCATCAAAGCACAACATTTCACACCGGGTGGGAGAAACTCCCTCTTGGAAGCACAGCCTCCAAAAGCAGGAGCTGTGAGGCTGCTCCCAGGGCGCTTCTGCCGGCCGCGGCAGAGGGGAAGAGCTGGCGCTTAGGCACCACGTCTCCTCAGGCCACGTGGGGGGCAATGCCCCTTCGCCTCCTGCTGCTACGTGGAGCCGTCCAGGCAAAGGCCGCCTGCATGGTCTGCCCGGGATAAACTCGCTCCTCCCAACCCGGAACCGCTCGCAAGGCCCTGGCAGGAACCGGAGGGGACGCCCAGCCGAGGCCAAGCTTTCACGAGTGCTCGAGGCTGGCTGAACTTTACTCCTAGACCTGTTCATGCCCAACTGGAACTGCTTCTGGGGATATTTGGTAGGCTGGAGCTGAGGCGTTGCTCTTTCAGAAACAGGAGGCTGCAGAGAGCTGGCCTCTACAAGTGCAGGCAGAGCAGGAAGGGAGCAGCCTTGCTTTGCTCCTGCCCTTTGCAGCGAAGCGGCTGGGGTACAATCGCCCGGGATGAGCCCGTGTGGGAAGCCCGGGGCACTGGGGGCACCGGCTTTGCAGAAGGGCGGAATGTGCAAGGGGGACACTCCCGGGAAGCCAACGGAGCGAGAGGAAGAGGCCCGGGACATCTCGCGGACTAGCACCCGCGTTTAGTTTTTCTGGCACGATTGTTGTGCACCCTGTCAGAAAGCTCACGTGAGAACAAATGCATGAGCTGAAGAGGCGTTTTTCGGGCGCCGCCAGCTTTTTCCGCCGCTGCTTCTGCCGCTGCAGAACGGCAGGGGGGCCCCTCCTCTGATCCCGGCCAGGGGCACTTTGCCCAAACTTCTCTGCCCGGGAGAACTGGTGCAGGTTCGCAGCGAGCCAGTCGCCCAAGCGGCAGCTTCGGCCGGCGCCGCGGGGCAGGAAGAAGCGAGCGGGGGCGGGGGCACGTCCCCGCACCTCGCCCGCGCCCCGTCCGTCGCGCGGCCCGCTCTCGGCGCCCGCCCGGCCCCCGCCCATGCCGCGCCGCGGAGCGCTCTGCACACGCCCAGAGGCTCACCCGGTTCCGCGTGACGGTGTGGTTGAAGGCATAGATGTTGAGCAACTCGCCGTTGACGGCGTCCATGTAGACCTTGTCGAAGTCGGCCTCCTTCTGCACGACGCTCTTGGCGCTCGCCGGCTCGGCCCCCGGCCGCGACCCCAGCCCCGGCGGCGGCAGCAGCGGCAGCAGCAGCAGCGGCAGCAGCCCCAGCCCCCGCGGCGCCCCCTGCAGGCCCCGCATGGCCCCTGCCCGGCGGGCTGGTGGCGGCGGCGGCGGCGGCGGCGGGGAGACACCGGGCG